AAAAAAAAAAAAAAAAAAAGGTTGAGGAATAAAATGGGGAGGAATAAAATGAGATGAGCAAAGGTCTTGAAGAGGTACTTGCACACCCATGTACACACACAGCAGCATTATTCACAATAACTAAAATGTGAAAACAACCCAAGTATCTAAAGTTGTACATACATACAATGGAATATTATTCAGCCTTAAAAAGGAACTTCTGCAACATGGATGAATCTTGAGGACATTATGCTAAGTAAACTAAACTGGTCACAAAAAGACAAATACTGTACAAAGTGCTCAGAGTAGTCAAAATTATAGAGTTGCTGGGGAGAGGGGAAATAGGGAATTATTGTTTAATGAGCATAGTTTCAGTTTTACAAGATAGAAAGGTTCTGGAGATGGATGGTTGTGATAACTGCACAACAGTGTGAATATACTTAGTACCACTGAAATGTATACTTAAAATGGTTAAGGTAGTAAAAAAAATTTTTTGAGACAGTTTTACTCTGCCGCCCTAGGTAGAGGTGCCATGGCGTCATAGCTGACAGCAACCTTAAACCCCTAGGCTCAAATAATACAGGCACCTGCCACAACTCCTGATTGGTTTTCTATTTTTAGTAGAGACAGGGTCTTGTTCTTGCTCAGGTTGGTCTCCAACTCCTGAGCTTAGGCGATCCACTTGCCTCAGCACTCCCAGAGTGCCGGGATTACAGGCGTGAGCCACTGCACCTGGTCTAAGATAATGAATTTTATGTTATGTTTATTTTAGCACAATTAAAAACAATAGAAAAAAATGAGATGAGCAGGTGCATAGGAGTGTTCCAGGCATACCAAAATTACAGTGAGCTGGGCACTGGAGATTAAATGAATTGTTACGCTTGGGAACAGCAAGCTGTTGAGTTTGAAACCAGTGAGGGGACAGCTGGGAGGTTGGTACCTAGAAGGCATAGTTGGAAGGCCAATGAGCAGGGAAAGAAGTGATCCACACTTGAAGGAGTGGGCAGGCAAGCAGGCCATGTGGCCAGAGGTCACACCACAGGGAGAGAGACAGGGAGGAAGCAATACCAAGTGAATTGGGTAACTGGTGTGATACGTAGCAGATGTGCAGTTTAGGTTGCACGCTGGCAGCCAGCAATCATGCTTTGACTCAAAGAGCAGTTTAACTTCTTTAGTTAACAGCATTTAAAAAGTCAGGGAACTTCGGGTGGGACCTGTGGCTCAGAGAGTAGGGCACTGGCCCCATATACCAAGGACGGCGGGTTCAAACCCAGCCCTGGCCAAACTGCAACAAACAAATAGCC